TTATTGCTTACTGCAATATAAGTAATCTCCCTCTCCAAAGTTTACCACCTTGCTTATAATCTTTACAAATGCTACGTTTATTAACATCTATTTAGGTCAGCTGTGGTGTGAAAAATAAACTTTCTCCATGCTCTCTGAGATGTTCTTTAATAGGTTTATGGTACAGTGTTACTGCCAATCTTCCACCAAGTCTTTTTTTTGTCCACTGTACCATTTTCAAAAAAAGTTACATCCCCAAGATCCAGAACCGGTCAAAAAACCTTTTTAGAATTCAGATTTAACAAATTCATGTAGCAACATGTAGAAAAAATTCCAGAAAACATGGTTATTTATTTAGTTAATTGAGCGGTCTTTACATTTACTTTTTAAAGCTAATCATCTACCTAATTAAGAGCATCGCTGATAAATGATCATGTAATATCAAAGATGGTTGTCATGTCACTTCCTGTTAATCTAATGTGCATGCAGCTGATGGGACAGAGAATAAATAAATACAATACATGAGAATTTCAAGCTTCACCAGAACACACACAGCATGTTTCCTACCTTAGCTAATGGCTAGGATTAGGCAGTAGGAGAGCTGCATGCATTCTCCCTGTGTTCAGTTTCTCTTCCAGATATACAAGGATTTACTTTAATGCAGATTGATTTTTTTCATGTGCAAATGTAAACACGAGCGTTATAGATTGCCAGTGAGATCACATCTAGATCCGCATGCTACATCATACAAAATTCAATCTTAAAAGCATTATGAAAAACGTCGAAAGATATGATGGGAAAATGTAACTGAGCAGAAGATGTTTAAGTACAGAGACAGCTGTTTTTAGTCATGCAACATTTATCTGTTTTCAGTCAATAATTTCACATCAAATAATCTTTTGAGTTGATTGCTGTATTCGCTGCTATTGAACTAGTTAAGCAAGGCAGTATCAATACCTTTCCCAAGGAGAAAAGGAAGCAGAGAAACCAGTGTTTATTCAAGTCATTTCATACATATTCCTTTACAGCTAAAAAGAACTGTTTACACAGGCGGTTGTAGAGAAATAGCAGGCTTCCAACATTTGCAGCAACACAACTGTTAATAGTCAGAAACTAGAGAAATGCAGTAACTAGGATAGACATGTGCATTAATAAAATACAAATCAGAATGTATACAATATGCAGAGTTTGCATTTGCAGTTTTTGATGTGACTGTGCAGAAAACAATAGTAAAAGTATATTTAAATACAACTTTATTCCCTATTTTTCTCAGTAATTAAGGAATGACTATGGATATAAACTAAAATTATTAGTATTATTATTATTTTACAATTTATCTTGCCCTGTTCTTCCAGTGAACATAAATGGCATATCAGAACTATTCAAATGGGTTGTGATTAGATGACCATAAAAGGCGTATAACTCTGGTATCAAAAATTCTTGCCTGTGCGTTAGCTTCTATCTGCTCTCGCTCATTAAAATCATGCTGCTTTGATGTCTACATCATCAGATCAACCTGAGTGAGTGGTGGCTACATCACTGGATGTGGGCAGTACAACACCGATTAATGTCAGAGTGGAAATCTTTCCCTTTAACACAATGGCCTCTAGTAATTTGGGGAGGTACAAAAGGAAGTGGTAAAAGTGAAGTAAAAAAGAGTCAGCATTCTCGCTTGTGTTTTATCTCTTAGTCTAACCCGGTGTGTACTGTCTGGGACAGGCTTTGACGGAAAGAATTATTGTATTTTGCTTTACAGTGTTTCTTGCCTTCTTGTCCATCCCCTTGCCTGTGACCTGGAAATCGATCTCACGACCCCCGTGTTGAAAGTTGTCTCAATGCCTACAATGCATCAGAAGAACAGAGGAGGGAAGATAGGCTACTATGGCGCATACACAAGTGTATGCTTTTAAAAAATTGCTTTTACCTTTATTGTGCTGTAAAAACAGAAAACGCAAACAGCTTCAATATGCATACCATGTGGAAGACTCTTTAAAGAACTTATTCTGTGTGTTTTTAAGTTGTGTTTATAACTTTGATCAAACTCATTTGTATCTGTGTGATTAAAAAAAGTATAGCTGTGACAAATAACAGCAGCGGAAATATAGATGGGAATATATAAAGCATAGCATGGATGGAAGTAATGAAATTAAGCTCTAACTATGGGGATCATAATGGTCACCTCACTGCCTCTTATTACTCATGCAACCAATGTAATGAATACATAGAATGCAATTAAATCAAATTGTATTCTAACACATTCCTAACAACATTTTACATTTTTGTCTTTTTGATTCAAAACTGTGATTTTATATATTAAACCAATGAAAAAAGCAGCAAAGGCTTAAAATAAGGACATAAGGTTAAGCTCAGCTACATTCTCGCCAGCTCAGCTGATCTCAAGAGCTCAGCTGATCTCAAGGCCAGTCAACATCAGCTGACGGAAAAGCTTCCACACATCCAAGTGGTAAGTCTTAGTTATGGCAGGGTGTTTAATCTGCTTTAGCTGGCCCACAGTTACTGCACATCTACAAGCTGCTTAGAGCTTCCTTTTATGTGGTGTATGATTTAATCAGTACCATTTCCACTGTCACTAATGACCGCCGTCTTTGGTGTTGGGGTCTTTTAGTTGTTTTCCCTGCCTTCAGCTTTCCTTGTGTATGCACATGGAAGGTATAGGTAAATGTGCTCTCGCATCCATGTGGAATATCAGGAAGGTCACAGAACATAGCCGTACAGCCAAGTATACCTAACAGTAGATGGAAAGAAAGCCAGTTCAGATTATAGTGGAACTGGCTAAAATACGTTTGGTTGATGTTGCAAATGGATGTGCTTATTAAAAAACAACAAAACAAAGCATCATAGCTTCATTTTGGCATCTAGTAAATGTTTTTTGACTCATAGGATGCCAGAGGGATAGAACAAGACCACCTAGTTTATCAGTCAAATGACATTTTAATAAACATCCAAAAATGTAAGATTGTTATAGCCAGTAAAAACTGTTTAATCTGGCTCAGGATCAGGAAATCTCACTCCTGGAATCTCATTATTAGTTCTGGCTGTTACTTTTGTACTGTTTTCTCGCTCAGAAATAATTAATCTCTTGGTGACATTGCAGCCATCCAAGTGGTTTAACTGGAAAATATGTGTTGATGGATGTGAGGGTTTGAGGAAATTCGTGGTTACACAAGGTTATAAACAAACAGTAAAAAGCTGGGCCTGGTTAAAAGCAGTGTTTTTATTTATCCAAAGCACCTAGGCTTTGGATAAATAAAGCACTGCTGGCAATTATATACACACATACTGCAGCAGTTCTCTGGGTAAAAACGCCTTGGTGATGCCAGAGTAGGACGATCAAACTGCTTCGAGGTGAGAGGAAAGCAACTCAAAGAAGAAACTCAAATAACCACTTGTTATAACCAAAGTATGCAGAAGAGCATCACCAAAGCTTGAAGCAGATGGGGTACAGCTGCAGAAGACCACATCGGCTTCAGCTAATAACAGGAACCTGAGGCTACATTTATATGGACTCTCCAAAACTGGACATTGGAAGATTGGAAAAATGTTGCCTGGTCTGAGGATGAGATGGGATATGAATTTGATGTAAACAACATGGAAGCATGGATCTACTGGTAATGTAAAGTGAGGTGGTCCATCCCTTTATGTCCACAAAGAATTAAGACAGCTCTGAAGTTAATGAGGGATCCACCCCAGTTCTAGAAAGGTGTAACCAATGAAGTGACTGGTGAGTATGTAAACAATCTAAAGGCTTAAAATGTAAATGGCAAATAAATAAACAAATGTGCCAATGCACACCTCAACTCCTTGACCAGATCTGCTCTCAGGTCCCCCTCACATGTGGCAGTTGGAGTCCTCATGGGACCAAAAGTTGAACACTCCTGGCTCATCAGGAAATGGGAGGGAGTCGTCAGTGAAACAGGACCCTGTGATTATTTAGGTTCACAAGCTGTTAGTGCGATGGCTTTTTAATCGTTGCTAATGGAGTTTCAACTAACATAAAAACCCAGTGGGAGTTTAGAGAGCGACTTTGGCCCAATCCTCCCCCCTGTTCTGCCAGTCTACCACTTCATGATATCCAGTCTCATATCCTTTTTTTTTTCTTCTTGTCTCTCTTGCTCTTGTCTCTTTTACCTCCCCCTCCTTGGGCAGCAATTATGTACTGGAAAAGGAGTAGCTGTTATTTTTAATGTAGCGCCAGCTCTGTTGCCTTTTAAAAGCAAACACAACACAATATTGCACACAGCAGAGGCCAAACTCACCCCGGGGCTATGTATTAGATGCTGAAGTGGCTATTTAGAGTGAAAGTAAATGAGTCAAGGGATGACAGGTGAACTAAACGCTTTGAGTTCACAAAAACCAAGGACGCCCACTCCCCAACGCATTCTTCATATGTTACAAAAAAAAAAGAAGAAGACTGAATCCCACCACTCACTGCTCCCTTAGATTGCCATAGTGAAGGGAACCTGCTGTGGCAGTATCTTTCTTGTCCTCCCACCATCTCCCCCTTTCTTTTTCTGCCTCTCATTCAGTCTCTCCACCTTTCCACCTGCTGGTGCTGACTGTAGGTAGAAGCAGATATGGGATTTGAAAGGCCTGCATTTTAGAAAACTGAGCTGCACCCACACCTAAACCCCCCCCTGCTGTGCTCCAAGTTGAGCCGTCACACGGATAAAATCAGGTGGGGAGCGGTGAAGATACATTGCCAGGAAAACTATAAAAGCATCAAGGTAAAATGTCTGTTATTAAACCCAGGAAGGAAAAATGAAAAAACAAAACAAAAAAACAAAACCCCAAACCTCAAAACAAAGTTAACACATGCACTTCTGCCATGAAAGGATTTAAAGTTAGAATTTGTTGTTGGGAACATTTGCTTCAGAACCACACCTGGCCCAAACTTGTTTGGCAGTTTTACTGAGGGAGCCTTTGACTTTTAGTTCATATATGTGACATCATGAACTGTGAAACAGACTGGAAATGTGCTATTGCTCTTTGAGTGTGTTCAGTCAAAGAAAGCTGCTGTTTGCCCAGCATCTGGATTCATTTTTACTTTTAAATTATACAAAAAAAAAGAAGGTAGATCCCACATGTTCAGAACAAACCCAGTCTAGAAAAATTATATATACATATATCATTTTATAACTTTATACAATTTTATTTGTTACCTTTTTGTGGACTATAGAAATACTGTACAAATACCGATCCATAAAAGCAGCATGTACTGCTCATGTACTACAATATAAATTGCTCCAGGATATACTTTTTAAAATGTACAATATACTGCAACAAAAATATAAAATATAATATTATAATTATATTTTCTCCAGTGCCTTCCTAACACAAATAACATGTTTTTCTTTAAAAAACAAAGGGTAAAAAGGTTGTGCATACACAGTTAAATGTCATACCTCCTACAGAGCAAACCTGGTGCTCTACTGCTGACTCAGCATACTCAGTGCTTCCTTTTCATATGGCTCATTGGGCTTTTGTCCCTTGGTCCCACAGTCACTGCAACACATCCTACCACTACATTAATTCCACCTGGGAATATTTGCACTCTCCTCAAACCTACCATTATGTCCCACTGGCTTTTTGTTTGTTTTTTTTTTTAGTTCACCTTGAATTTGTGTAAGTGTGTGTGCTCCCAGTGACTGTGAACTGAGCTGGCACACAAAGCAGGAAATTGTGGTCAGGGTGGTGAATCATCATTTATACATTTTTGGATCAACATGGTACAGCGTGCTGTTTCCTGTAGTGAGGCTTAGGATGTAAAATTATGAGTATAAAGCAGCTATAAAAAAAAATAATAATAAAACGCCCGGTTTTCTGAGGTCTTGCAGTGCATTTGGGGACACTGTTTTGATTATGAATAAACTGGTTTATTTACTGTCGAGGGTGACGCAAGCATTAGCACCTAGGGTGGATGAATGGTCACCTTCTCATGGAGGAAAGACTGAGAGTTGTGTTGTTGGGGGCAATAATTGCAGATTAAGTCTCCCTATGCAAATTTATCCCAAGTGCTAGATTATTATGGGACAGATCATCTTATCCAGAACTTCAGAGAGACAGATGGTGGGTGGTTGAGCACAGATAGATAATAGTTGTGCAGATATAGATACTAACCGCTTCTGTTTCACTTGCAGCCCTTTGAATGCTTTAGTTTGTAGTAGTCCCCCCCCCCTAATTCATACCTTATTTTTGTTCTGAGGAAGCAACGTTGAGCTCAATTTGGGATGCAAAAGAGAGCAGTGGGATAATCTCATTAAATCAGGTGTAACGCCTTAGTCCTATTTCCTATAGTCTTATTTCCTTATTCCTAATGAATGGCATACCTTCTGTAATTATTCCCAATAGCATGTTTACAATTTCTAGGTAAATTCTAGGTATATCAGGTTATCTATTGTAATAATCCAATCAAATGCTCCATAGCAGCCATATTGAATATCCTCTAGGAATCTACTTGATATGTGCTCAGAGTCCATATCTGTTACATCATCATGACTGCTGTACCGAGATATTAGAAATCCATACACTCAAAATATGATGTATGACTCCACAGGCGTGGAATTGACTGGGGCTTTGGTGTGCTGCAGAACGTTTTCTTTTCTGAAGAAGCTGAGAAAAAAAAAGAAAGAAAGGTTACAGAATCCAGAATAATTTGCTCATTCAGTATAGTGGAAAAGGTCAACCCCATAAGGCAACTTAAGAAACAGACTATTACTCTTGATGAGGACAGATAGCTTGTATTTCTGAGCTGCATGTGAAAGTTAAGTGGCTTAGATGGCTGTTATATGGCAGAGCCTGAGGTAATTTAGCCATATTTTCACTATGTATATGTCACCATACCTATATATAACTGGAGGGAATTTC